GCAGATGTGCAGGTGAACATCTGCTTGATGTGGAAAGTCTTCTTGGGGCCTGAGATGGGGGTGAGGGGGGAGGTGTAGGGGCAGGTGTAGCACTTCCTGTGGTTGCAGGGAAAAGGCCGGGTGTAGTGGGGCTGGAGGGGAGTGTGGAGCAGACAAGGGAGTCACGGAGAGAGTGGTCCCTCCGGAAAGCAGATAAGGGTGGGGAGGGAAAAATGTCTTTGGTGGTGGGGTCGGATTGCAGATGGCGGAAGTGTCGGAGGATGATGCGGTGGTACGTGAGGACGAGGGGGATTATGTTTTGGTTGTTATTGCGGGGAGGGGGTGTGAGGGATGAGTTGCGGGAAATGCGGGAGACACGGTCGAGGGCATTCTCGATCACTTGGGGGGGGTGCAGGGGGGAGGTGGTGGGGAGTTGAGGGTACTTGAAAAACGTGGACAGCTGAGATGTTCGGGAGTGGAATGCCTCATCCTGGGAGCAGATGCGGCGGAGGTGAAAGAATTGGGAATAGGGGATGGCATTTTTGCAGGAAGGTGGGTGTGAGGATGTGTATTCTAGGTAGCTGTGGGAGTCGGTGGGCTTGAAATGGATATCGGTTTCCAGGTCGTTGCCAGAGATGGAAACAGAGAGGTCCAGGAAGGAGAGAGAGGTATCAGAGTTGGTCCAGGTGAACTTAAGGTTGGGGTGGAAGGTGTTGGTGAAGTGGATGAACTGATCGAGCTCCTCTTGGGAGAACAAGGCAGCGCCGATACAGTCAGCTTTCCTGCTTGGCCTGCTGTGTTCATCCAGCTCTACACCTTGTTATCTCAGATTCTCAGCATCGGCAGTTCCTACTATCTCTGAAAATATATTTGGAAAGGTTAGCTGTAAGCTGGGAAATACCAAGGTGAGAAGGAGAAAGACTTTCAGAGGGAAAGATCTAAAGGTTAAATGACTTTTTGGTAATAGGTTTTAATTTTTCTTTTGGAAAAAAGGATTGTTGGTCATGCTTGAAACATCAACAACTCAAGCAGCAAGTTTTGGGATTCTCATTACTGACTTGAACTTTCCTTGTGTAATACACCTCTAACATTGTCAGAAATGTTTAAATCAAATGGTCGTTCGCTGCCACCATCCACAGATTTCTTCTGTGGTCAACATTCTTTCCATTATAGGAAACAGCTTTAATTTTGTTACAGTAAGGAAGAAAATGTCAACTCACTGCATTGAGGTAACACCTGGCCTTTGTCATGCAAAGTACCATAGAAGCCATAACTGCAGGAAACCTAGACTCAGTTAACACAAAGATGAATGCACCACTTTGCACTTCCTCAGTGCACTGATAAAGACCAGAGATACTGAGAAATTTACAAGAAGCTAGGATACGCCTAACTTATTTAAAAGACGAAGAGTTCATAACTTGTAGATTCAGTCGTTGCAAGAGATGACTCATTCACACTTTTACAGAGTAGAGAACTATTGTGAATAAAGCACCTTGGGCATTTTCTATTGTCTTGTTTTTCCAAATGCAGGTCATTCTAGTACAATTTTCTCTATAAGACAGATCTGTTTGTATTGGGTATGTGCTAATACAAATCCACGTTCTTTATTGAAACAAAATGAATCGTAGTCCAATTGAGTCGCATTTACAATACCAGAGGACGAGGGCCTCTCGCACACAGCTAAAGCAGTAATAATTCCTCTCACTCTCTGAAGGCTTTGTATGATAGGTTGTGCTGGTTGTGAAGGGTGGGTGGAACAAGAGAAGAGTTAGTATGGTAAAGTTCAGTGGCTCTGCAATTCTTTTAAGATCATGTTATATTTTGAGTTTGACATTGTAATGGGTGGGGAACTGTTATGGTAACATGATGAATGTCTCAATGGATTTATTTTTAGTGGAATACTATGGGGCAGTAAAATGAAACAATAGAGAAAGATTCTGCATAAACTTAACTGGCGAATGCACAAGTGGCGGGGAAGAAATAGAGGTGAAACATTTCAGCAATGAAGAATAAATAAAACTGAAGGGTATGCTTGCAATACTCCACGTACCTAAGGAGATATTAACATTGAACAAAACTGATCCTGACTTATAGAGTCACTGAGTTATACAGCATGGAAACAGACCCTTCAGTCCAACTTATCTATGCCAACCAGCAGATGTCCTAAATTAATCTAGTCCCATTTGCCAGCGTTTGGCTCATATCCCTTTAAACCCTGCCTATTCATATACCCATCCAGAAGCTTTTTAAATGTTGTAATTGTACCAGCCTCCACCATTTCTTCTGGCAGCTCATTCCATTCCCTCCGCATAAAGAAGTTGCCCCTTAGGTCCTTTTTAGATCTGTCCCCTCCCACCTAAACCCCGTGAAAAAGACCTTGTCTATTCACCCTATCCATGCCCGTCATGATTTTATAAACTTATATAAGGTCACCGATCAGCCTCCGACACTCCAGGGAAAATATTCAGCTTATCCCTACAGCTCAAATCCTCCAACCATGGCAACATCCTTGTATATCTTTTCTGAACCCTTTAGAGTTTCTCAACATCTTTCCAATAGCAGGGAGACCTGAATTGAATGCAGTATTCCAAAAGTGGCCTATCCAATGTCCTGTACAGTCGCAACTTGACCTCCCAATTCCTGTACTCAACGCACTGACCAATAACTTGGACAACATGTTTAATGATAGCAGTCAGGACAACAGATAGAACAGAGAAAAGCAACACATCCAAAGAAATCACACGTAGGGCAACACAAAAAGTCAGGTCTTCCAGTTTTCACGATAAGTAAATAAAGTCACCATTGTCTGACTAGAACATAGGGCTGCTCTCTCGTTAGAGTGAGATGGCTGGTGGTGGTTTAACGTGAGGGTCAGAACACCTCAGGCAGAGGGGTGTAGAAGAGATTGAGAAGGAGAGTCCTTCATGGTAACCTCAGCTGGTACAGGAAATGAACTAACATTGTTCGCTTCATTCTGCATCACCCATCCAATCAACTGAGCTAGCCGAGCATAAATATTTACTCAATGAATGATGGGGGTAGCTCCACTGACTGGGATTCAAAAGGGATTTGAGAGTGGGCTGAAATACTTTGTGGATACAATATCCATGTGTCTCTTGAGTGCAGGTTCTGTGAATTTCCTTTATATTTAGTCGACGTATTATCAAGAAAGTTACTAGACAGTCAAAAGGTCTGATAATTCTTGGTACTTACGCAATTGTTGTTCGTAAGGGCAGCTTCATACTGCAGCCTCACTCGTTGTGGCATCATGACATCATCCTGTGACATAAAATACATGTTTATTTAGCATATGAGTTAGTATTGTTGCATTCATAACTGCTTGTCAAGTTTACTTCCATCTGTTACAAAAGCCATTACACTTCCAAAGTGCTCCATTGATGCCAAAGTACTGTAGGGTATCTTAAGGCCATGAATGGTGTTATGCAAATGCATGTAACTCTCCTTTTTCCCTCACTTGTTCAGACAAATAACCACATAGCAGGGAGGAGGAGCTCCAATGATAGTTTCCAATGAAGCATCTGTATCTACTCAAAATGGCAAAATAATCATGATCAGAAATTTAAAAGTTTAGCGAGTAAATTATTCTTTGAGTCCTGACTTCCAGAACTGGCCAACAGTTACCAGAGATCGAGGTAGTCCATGACCTTTACTGATCCCCATTCTCTTCCCCCACTGACCATTACTTGACTGCCAAAAGGGAATGGAATATATTTGGTGGTATAAATAATCTGCCGTCCAAAACTGTGTTAATGGCTAATAAAAAAAAACACTGACTGGTTCAAAAAGTTTCAAAGAAAAGCAATAAATGTTAAAGGGTGTCTACACGTAAAAAAATTCCAGATTAGGGTGCCAGGAATTGCTTTCTCAACTGAAGCAACCAAGAATGACCTTTGTTTGTAAACCCTGTCGCAATGTCCCCATGATTCAGAGAGCTTGTGCCAGGCACACAGCACATTTCTATAAAACCAGTTTCCCATTTTTAGTGAGGTTTTATTTTCAGTAACAAGAAAATATGATCTGCCGTGCAGCAGTGCCATAGTTGCACTTTTGCATCTTTATACGGCCCACGCCCTAAATCTTTCTCTTCCCTTTTTTTAATTTTTCCTATCTCCTCCTGTTTAAAAGTGCTAACTCATACCAAATTATGGTACTACGAGTGTGGTCATTCATGGCAGAGCTACTAAGGGCTCCTTAACTTCATCTGTGAGAAACAACTAAAATAATCCTCTCTAGTGTGACAAAGCTCCAGCAAATATGTTTGTTGTATCCAAGGTCTACAATGCTGGAGGTCAAGGTCTGGTCAAGAAACTCATTGAACTCTTTCTATTGATATGGGAGCTGAGGAACCATCCCAAAAGACGATAACTCCCTTTGTCCAGTGGAAGGGGACCCATCAATCTTGTGACAATTGTAGAGGTATCTCACTCCATTTCATTGTTGGCCAAACCTTCAACAGAATCTCCCTGAACCACTGAGTGCAACACCTCAAGCCTGCCAGAGAGTCAGTGTAGTTTCAGAAAAGATCGAAGAGCCGTTGTTACGGTGTTTAGAGTTAGACAGCTCTGGGAGAAATGCAAACCACAGGTCGTGGCCTTCCACACCACATGTGCTGGCCTGATTAAGGCCTTTGATACAGTTAGGCAAAAGGGCCTTTGGAGTGTCACGGGGAAATTCAGCAACCCTGAAAAATACATCACAATTTCTTGATGGTCACATGTGTATGGGTCTTTAAACCCATTCCCAATCACTGACAGAGGTAAACATGGCAGCTGTCCTCTTCAGCATGTTCCTCTACGTTTTCTGATGCTTTCTACGATGGAGACCCTGGCATCAAAAGCAGATGTTGCATGAACAGGAAGCTGCTTATCCGAGTCAACACCAGGCTAAAACCAACATCTCCATGCACATACTTCACAATTACCTCTTTGCTGGTGACTGGGCACTAGCTGTTAGTTCAGAGCTGGTGATGGGATGGGACACTGAATTGTTCTTCAACACTTGCTACAACCTCAGCCTTATGTACAGCAGGAGATAAACTAAAGTCTTGTACCAGCCTGCTCCAGAAAAGTCTCATCAAGTCCAAGGTTTCTATCATTGTCCAGAACCTGTTAGCAGTGGATATGGATAAACTCACTTAGCTCAGCAGCACATTCTCTACCACACTCTCTCCCTTTCTCTCTTGAGCTGTCTATACTGATGGTGTGGCACATGATAGCTTATTAAATTTTCTTAGAGAGTCCTGTGAGGGCGAGAACTTCATTTCCGAGTGATGGAGGTCATTCAAAGACAACAACTTTTCACTGACCCTTATACACTAAAGCTGAACGAGCCTGTGAACAATACACATTTGATAAGAACCATTGGCATGACAGTGTGAAGTCCAATTTGATTGCATCCCACACCATCAGGAATCAGTTTAACTAATAGCTGTGGTTCATAAGCAATGATTTAGGGCCCGGAAAGATTGATCCTTATTGCCAAAATAGGAAACACCCTCTGACTTGGTTGGCACAGTGTCTCAGTGATTAGCACGAGGGACCTGGGTTCAATTCCATCCTCGAGCGACTGTCTGTGTAGAGTTTGTACATTCTCCCCATTTCTACATGGGTTTCCTCTGGGTGCTCTGGTTTTCTCTCCCAGTCCGAAGACATGCAGGTTAGGTGGAGGCTATACTAAATTGCTCATTGTGTCCAGGGATGTGCAGGCTAGGTGGATTAGCCATGGGAATGCAGGGTTACAGGGATAGCGTAGGGGCATGGGTCTAGCTCTTTGGAGGGTCAGTGTGGGCTTGACAGGCCAAATGGCCTGCTTCCACAAAGCCCACGTATAGTGCAGGAAGTGCTCATTTGGGCCATAGTGAGAAGGTTGGCTGGGATGTGTCACTTCGATGTTGTAGTTGTGTTTAGACAGACATTTGCTCATCCAGCTGATGAAGAAAAATGAACATACATTTACAAATATGATAATATATTTACAACGATGTCTCGCCTGTGCCACCTAAATGCCCTCAGAAAGTTTTCTTCTTCATTTCTCTCCCACTATATCGCAGGGCAGTCCTAGGTTCCACCTCCTGGGCTGGAAGAGCCTGCCCTACAGTGGGGCCCACTGGCCTTGGAGATTTTGTAGGTGACACTTTTTTTTTGACTACAGGTCCCAGACAGTGTTTCCTGTCCAGAACATGCTGCACCCTGGTCAGCTTGACATCTCACACGGCTGAGGATTGCAGACAGGATGGAGTCCAAAGGCCTGGCCAGCACCGGATCATTTCAAAAGGAGACTTCAGGGAAGCCTGCATGCGCCCCCTCCTCCAACTAGGGGCCCACTGGCAGTACCCTGCTTCCTCCTGAGGAAGGGGCAGCTAGAATGGGGTCAAGGTCCTTTGTCACACTGTTGCTGTGCTGTTGGTACTGACCACCAACAGCGAGAGCGATAGAGTGGTTTGTATATCCCCAGCAGACTCTGACCACAGACCCAGCGTTTCTGCATTTTAAATATAGCACCAGCATCAGGGAGATCCCGGCAGCATTCAGTACTTCCATCTACAGCGGATGGAAACACAGGACAAGTGGGGCACCATACAGGGAGGTGCTTGGTTAACAAGGTGAGTTTGGGATGATTTCATTTTGAGAAAACCGACATAGCCTCACAAGGAGAAATCCTGCATGGAATTCAACAACTATGACACCACCGATTTCTTGTGTGATTCAGTTCCAAGTCCCCATAGTAGGGAAATGGTATTTTGGTTGAAGTGTCCACGTCACTCGGGAGAGATCAGTTGTCAGATTTCTTTTTTAGCCACTCAAAAGCAGACTGGGTTATCATCTCATCTAAAGAACGCTGCCTCTGTCAGTGCCACGCAGCCCCTTTATTGCAGCACCAACATTGATTAACTGTTCTGGCACAGAACCTAAACCAACAGCCTTCCGCTTCAGAAGCAAGATCATTGCTAGCTGAGCCACAGCGGATGCCATGGAAAATCTTCTCACTCAAAGAGTGAGGAAATAACTGAAATGATTTTCCAAGGAAAGGATGTTATAGGGACAAAACCATACAGGAGCATTCAGAATTGAGCTGTAATCTATAATTAGAGCTGTTCTTCCTTATAGGATTTTTGGTCACATTTCATGATAGAGGCATGATCAAAACAGCAAGTTGTACAGGCTTAACAAGTTACAGCTGGGGACAGTATTTAAATACAGTAATTGCTCTTGAGGTGCTTTCATCGGAACCCACAACTACTAAAACCATAGTTCAGAGACTGTTAACGTTAACAGACAAATGCTTAACGTAATGTACTACATTCTTTAGCTTATGTGTTTCAGCAAAGCTGAAATCATTAGAATAGGCAGGTTAAAGACCACATTAAAATGGCAAACGAACAACAATGCATTTAGTGCTTATGTGGTAATATCAAGTGCTATTTCTAGATTAATTATATAACCATAAATATCACACTCCATATCATCAAAGTCAGCTGCAAAAATATAAGAATGCCACTTAATACTTTTCACATACAGTAGTGGGATTTCTGCAATCTAAAGAGAAGCCACTCTCCTGGCTTACAGATCAAAGTTCTATAGTTAATTGCACATTATAGCTCATGATTCAACTAACAACTTTATTAGTACTACCAACTGCAACAGTGCAATTCTACACTTGACTCCGAAAACAAGATGTCAGCTTGAGCCACAGTAGCTGCAATACAATCAAACCAGTCAACATTCCAACTGGGTGCACTCATTTTTGCAATGGCCTCTAGTTTGAGGTGACTATTTTTTTGTAACCTATTTTTGCAGGGTTTTTCTAATCTTAAGGAAGCCAAATATTAAGAAAAGGCTTAGCCAGCTTTGGAGCATGATGGTACTTGATCAATAAGCTGAAATGGCTTTTTAGATTCCAAAATTTTCCAGATATTCTTGATTTTTTTTTGCTTCTCTGCATAAAATCCTACCTTTTCATGTCAAATATGAGCCAGTAGCTATCTTCCTTAAGGTGTCCTCTGATGAGCCAACCATTAGAGGTCAAGTCATTTAGACTTAGCACAAAACTGCGGTAGAGTTCCTGATGCAACTAAAAGATTAGAGACTTATTTCCAGAAGATCGGCCTAGCTATTGTAGAAGTACACGCGTTCCTGGTCAATATTTGGTAGCTTAATTTTTTTCTTATTCTTTTATGGAATATGTGCATCGCAGGCACTGGCCAACATTGCTTGCCCATTCCCAATTTCCCTTCAACAAAATGGCTTTCCAGGCTATGTCAGAGGGCAGTTAAGAGCAAACCACATTGCCGAGGGTATAGAGTCACATGTTGTCCAGTCCAGTTCAGGAATGGCAGGTTTCCTTCCCAAAATTCATATTTGTGAACCAGATAGGGGCTTACAACAACCGATAATAGTCATGTGACATCATTACTTTGAGCAGTTTTCTAATTCCACATCTATTAAATGAACGTGAATCCCACCAGTTGGCCGTGGCAAGATTTGAACTTGTGTTGCCAGAACATTAGCCTGGCCCTCCAGGTTACCAGCTCAGTGACATTACTACTATGACTATACCACCATCATCCCAAAGAGAATATGTTTCAGGTCATGTGGCAGAAGAAACTCCTTTACAGAAGTAATTCAAGTAATTTCAGTTTGAAAGCAACATTTGTTTAATTAAAAACCATTTAAAAAATACAAGCGATCAAGTGGGTAGATTTAGTGATGAAGTTAATGGGTTCAACTGAGTCAAAAAGGATGCCAACGATGTGAGCAGACTGGTCCAATTTCAGAAAATGACGGGGGCAATAGACGGGAGCCAGCATCTGGAAACTGGAGTGTGTGACAGGGAATAAAGACAGTGGCTTTGATTTTCCCAATATTTGTTTTTTTTTTGGAAACTTCTGTGCGTCTAGAACTGGATGTTGGTCAAGGCAACATGACCAATAAGAGACAGTGCAGGAGTCCGTGTGGGTAAAGGCAAGGTAGAACTTGATTGCATCAGCATAAAATGTGGAACCTGAGGGCTCTTGTGGCACAGTGGAAATGTCCTTATCCCTGAGCCAGAAGGCCCATCTACCCCAGGAGTGTGTCAGATCATACCTTAGAGGTAGATTCAAAATATATTATATGTGAAACCTGATGTGTTTTTGGTTGATTAGCTCAGGAGCTCCCCTTTCTGTACATATGAACTGTAAGATCTTTCTGAACTGATGTATTAAGATGGGCTAAGTGAACTTCTCCATCAATCTTTCTTCACCATGACGACACCATATTAGAGGCAGCTCCTCAGGAATAAAGAACAAGTAAATGATATAGTTTTGACAAATAGGATTAGTTGACTACTGACAGTAATTAAATTCAATCCCCTTCTTTAGTTATTTCAATCTTTTCTCATTCTGGCAGGATAGTACATGGATCTATTTAACCTTTCAAACCTAGAGTAGACTACAACTGGTGGTGTCAATAATTTCAATGATGTTTTTACGTTTTAACGTCATCCTTCCTCAGCAAGTATTCCTTAACTGAACTGCTTTGGGATTAGCCCAGGAAGTTCAAAGTTCGCTGAGCCAGACACTGGACGAAGAAGTGATCGCTTTGAATGTATTATCTCACGAGTTCTATATTGTTGGAGTTTTTGACACTCAATGCAGAGGATTTCAATACTGCTGCAGGAAGGTGATGATAGCTCCCAATCACTTGATCAAGCTTGACAAACCATACAATGTATGTTACACTCTTGGGGTAAAAAGTCAGATTTTGGAAAGCCAAATGACTTTTACAAGAAATTATTCTCCAAACCCCAGAATTGGAAATAAAATTAGAAGGATTTTAAAACAGGTTGTCTATTGTTTCTCAACTTTTCTACCCTTTCTCAGCCTTTTTCTAGGCACTGGCAGCTACGATTAACAGACAGCACTAATGGATTTTGTTTCTACCCACATCAATCTTTGTGAGCTGCTATGATGACGGAGAAGAAAGTATGGGTGATCAATAACCAAGGCAACCTGGCTTGGCACTGGGTGTTTTAGGCCAAATTCTAGGATCATGTTGGATAGAAAGAAGCCATTTGGCCTATTGCATCTGTGACAATTCTTTGAAAGAGAGCCATCCAATTCATCCCATTCCTTTTCACTGCCTCCATGGCCATACAAATGTTTACTGTTCAAAGAATTTCTCCAATTTCCTAGTCTTAGAATGGACCAAAAGAAGGTAAGTGACCTCCCCTTGAACGCTAACCAAACTCAAGTTAGACAGTAAAGTAAAAAGAGTAGAAACATTTATCATTCAGGCAAACAGATAAACTTCCCAGCATATATTTTTGGCCTTTCTGATGGCTGTTTCCATTAGGTCGACCGTAACAATTTAGCCATTATCAACAATACATCACAATGGGCTGAGTGGGTTCCATCTTTGCCAGAATGTGTTAATGCTTCTAAGTGTAGTTTACAAGTATCACCCCGATTAGAAACAAATCCTATCATTTCACTTCACATGCAACGTCCAGATTAAAAAAGGAAAGGGTGGAATAAGTAAACTGATTAACATCTACTTGAAGTGTTTATTTTTTCCTGGAAGGTTCAACATTCACCGGTGTTGCAACAATGGAGTCTGCACGTGGAAATTTGTTGTTTAAAAGTTAGATTCCACATTGCCTAGATCTTAGGGTCTCACCAACGAGAGTAAATACAAAGAAAGTGTTTCCTCTGTAAACCTTTTAATGCAACACTACATTGAGAGATGTTAAAAAGAGAACAGGGGGAAAAATATCCTTTCTGCTGAATTGAGAATCAGCAGGGCTCTTTAAACACATCCAGATGATTGCCCCAGCAGGAATTCTGTGCTCATTATCACCTTGCAAATGAGGTCCTGGCCTGTTCATATTGCTTGCAACCAGTTCCTGTGTTAGCCGCACATCACCAGTAAGCCCCACTTCATTTGAAAACTGGTTACATTGCAAGTACCTGTCTCACAAGCTCTAAATCTTTGCCAATTATACTGTATAGCAACTTGAAGACTGCTGCAAACACTGGTAACAACTGCAGATGCAAAGTTGCCATGACATTGATATTATGGTAAAGTATCTGAAGTGCCATATGTTACACGAACCAAGCTGGTGGCCAATGAAAATGGCAAAATTAAATGGCAAGTAGTATTGTGTCAATCATTCACAAAATTCCTTCGCAGGTGACATTCCCTGGCTCTAGCTACACCAACACAGTCTTGAATTTTAAAGGTACAGCTTCAAAAGAAAGAATAATCATGCATTTCTATTCTCCAATGTGTTCACAATCTACTGCTGAGCCAATGAATTACTTTTAAGTTAATGTCATTGTTGTAATGCAAGTCAACACTAGTTTAACATCCCTCTGGAAGACACAGAATTAAATTTTATGGACTGACAGAGATCACAACCAGCTTTGAATCTGATTGTCAGTTAATACCGCACAATTATTTCCAGCAGACAACTTTAGATGTAAATACGTCAAATCAAATTTAAATCGATGACATATCCTGTCCACTTTATCATACTGGAGAGTTAATATTAAATGGTCAGTGTAAACCAGTACTTCAGAACAGCTAATAGTGAAAGTATATTTTCTGCAAGATTAAATGCATACTTACCGCATCCAGGAAACAAAGGAACCTCCCAAAACTCTGCACAATGGCCTGATTCTTGGCAAAACCCACTGAAATATAGAAACATATTTTTCCTTTTTAAGGACTAATCTCAAAGACTTCAACACACAATATGCGATGCTCATGAACCACAGTGAAACAAAATCGGTCATAACTTCAAATCTTATGTCAGGTCAGCTCTTAAATTGCAGTCGTTCAATATTACTTTAGGCCTACAATGCATTACTACCTTAAAATACAATCTGTTTTGTGTATTATCTCTATGTATTATGTGACATATGATGACTTGCACCAAGTGCCCACATGCACTGTAGATGTTTTAGCAACAAAGAGAAATTAACAGTAGTATCCCTGATCCTGTACCAATGCCAGCTATAAAATATTCATGGTTTCAAGGATCACATTAGGGGATTCATCAGCAACAATCCTATTAATCCGCTTTCCCCCTGCCTTCATGCACGATGTTACACCTGCTACCCCTACCAAAACTTCAGCACAATTCAGCAACTGAGTACAGATTTAGCAATACAACCTGGGATCTTCCTGGTCTGGAAGAGTCTTTGCTAATTCAGCAGTGAACACAAAGTGAAGTATCAGTGGTTGATAAGGGAATCTGAGCCATATCTTTAAGGAGAGGAATGTATTTAATCATTAGAAACTGTTTTACTGCCAAAGACATGTATCCAACAAACTAATGAGAATTACTTTGCTAGATAAAAAAATTCAAAACGTTGTCTCAGATTCCAAATTCACTCCCTTCTTTCCCCGTCATTTAAGTGGAACAAGAATATTGCATGTAAAGTTTCATGAAATCTTGAGATTTTAGTGCTAGAGTTTGGGATCAAATCAAATTCAGTTCCCATGCATACCGTTCTAATAAGTGAAGAGATTCCCACAATGCAGAATGTGTTATCGTAACCAGAGAATTGGATCCAACTATGCTGGACAGACAATCAATGTTTGTGCCAACAGGGCCACTTCCCCTCAGTCTATTCAAAATGTCCATTCCCTGTGACTGCCAGTCTAAATTTTCTACAATGATGCCAGTATTAATCATTGTCTTTACTTCCTAGTCAAAGCAGGGAGGTATCAAATTAAACAAACACCATCAGGGGTCCACATTAGCCCATTCAAAACCAAATCAAGACACAACTCGGACAAACAGATGTGCTTTATAAACTACATTAAAGGGCTTTTTTAGGGCTCTCTCTGTCTCTAATTCCATATTGTAGCGCTTGATATCGAAAAAGTCAGAAAGAAAATGTGCATAAACTCTGACAGCAAAACCATTTAAAACTTTTGTACTGCACTTTAACTTGGAATGAAGTCAATCCTGGTATCACATGATCCGAAATCTCTTCAGCACAAATCATGTGATTCAACTGCAGGAGCCAACAAAATATCACCACCATCATGACACCGGTATTCTCCATCCATCCTTCTGGCAAGAGAGGCTTTCGCCTTCTACTTGAGTTTTCTGGGAAATGCTGGTCAAGGAATGGATTTTCTTATGTGTGCTTTGTAATGAAAGCTTGCAGCAATTTTTAAGTTTCACATGGAGGTCAACGCAGGCTCTGAATTGAAAAGAAAGTAATAACTATTTATTTTTAATAATGGGAATCAGTATTGGCTCCTTAAATTGACATCCTTATAGGTAAAGTCACTGTATCCTACTGGACCATAGCTCTGCTCTCCCTTTACAGAGAAAGGACTGGTGCTGGTTGAACCCGAGGGTCGTCACACCTCAGGCAAGGGGAGAGGTTGAGAAGGAGGGTCCTTCATGGTTACCTACACTGTTAGCATAATTTTCCATTGCAAGCCAGCCATTCAGCCAACTGAGCTACATTCTTATACATCCAGCTGTACAGCCTAAGAGTGTGTCTTGTGAATCATCGCCCAACATTAAGTGTTTTCAATGCAAGGACAGTTATGATTCCTTTCACTTACATGTTTTAATCACTGATCAAGGAATTCCTTGTTCCTTTCTAATTAATAACAGGATGGAAACTTGTCTTTACTACAGTTATTAGTAGTTGACTCTAGTTCACACTCAACTTCTCAAGTAGTATGTCTCCGTTAATCTCATTGACTGATGCTTTAAGGCCATGGGATACTTGACTTTCCCCAATTTTCAATCATCTGCAAACTGGATGTTGTCAAGATGATTAACAAACAAGCACAGACAGTGAAAATCCATATGGGATTCCTCTTTCACAGTCACCCAGCTTGCAGCACTGCCATCTGGGATTACTCCATGTCTTCTGTTGCTAAAACAGTTTTCCACAAATTTGTCACTATACTCTGAATTTTGAGAACTTTCGTCTTGGTTGCAGCAGCACCCACTATTCCCTCAAATGGAGGAAATCTTGCCAAATGCTTTCTGACAGCTCTGATTTGCAATCCCAAAAATATTCCTAATACAGCGATACACTGACAATGTCACTGGAAAAAAGTAACATGTTAATTGACGATCCGGAAGAATGAGAATGGGAAGTTCTCATACTGCATACTGTAAAGCAGTTTCTGCAACATTTGTGTCAAGCCTCTGCTGTGCCAATAGGCAACACATAGGAGAGGATTTATCTGATGTATAGTTGTGGACTTTCCACTTGCCTCATGTTCTCATTCCACTTTTGGTGGGCGGGCTGACTTATTATTTTATAATCAGAGATTCACTGTGCCACATTGTTACTTATTCCTTTTATCAAATCTTGTGCTGACAATTCAGCAAATCATGTCACAATATCCCATGGCATGCACCGTCATTAAAAAGCTGTGTTAAGATGTGTTTACCGAGCACTTAAGGTTCAAAAGATTCAGCTGAAAACAAAACTAAATATAAATCGCAAAGTGCAACATTGCATTTCTCTTGGAAATCCAGGAATAGGTTTATTGCTTTATAACTGCTAGAAGATCAAGTGTGAATTGTGAAATGATAAGCATCAACTGTGAACAGTATTCTCACTAATATGACATTTTCGCACCCAGCAGTTTCTGAGGAAACTTTATTCAATTCCAGTCATACACTAGAATTGAGAACAGCCACGTAAAGGTCAGATAAAAAAAAACTCCCACAGATCCCTTTCCTGCCTTAATGCTTTCATCACAAACTTTTTCTTCCCCAATGCTTAAAAAAGTTTCATATTTTGAAAAAGATTTCTTAGAAATTTATAATTAATGGGTATCTTGGAACTACACAGATCATGTAATGATTTCCCTTCACAGAACATTTAAGTACACTCATCTTATTGTAGAATTTACATTTCATGAGATCCCTATTATTTCTGGTGCATATTTTACTTGCTATATTTGCACTCATTTATTGCAATAATTCCCAACATGAATGACTTCTTCTTGAGACTGATTCCTACAGAATGTGTCGTACAGCAACAGGCCATTCAGTCTGATAAGGTCTGTTCTGGTGTTAATACTTGAACAAACTCTTTTCATTAAACTTACACGCATATCCTTCTAAAGCTCAGGGGTTTCAGAGAGTAATTTAAGACTGGAAGAGATTGCAGCGAGAACATGATCAAGTTGGGATTAATGAAAAGATCAAAGATGTTTCCACTTAATATGCTTGGGACTGAGACTCAGTGTAAGCCACTGAGGATCTGAGTGGTGGGTGATCAGAATTTAGTGTGGGACCTCATACTTGGACAAGCAGATTTTGTGGAAGGATGAGAGAGGATCAGGAAGTTATTTGAGTAATTAAGTCCAGAGGTGATAAAATCATGGAAAAATCTACCAGTGTTGGAGAAGTTTGTGTTGAGGTACAATTGAACCGTGCTGCACGGGAAAGATGAACATAATCTGATAAGGGGGCTAACATTCAGAACTACACTGAAAAGGATACCAAGGTTTAGAGAGTCTGGTTTAGCCTGAGCAGTGGAACGGGAGATAGCGTTTGTGATTTGAAAAAGCATTGGAAATCTGACAAGCTGCTTTATGCGCGAGTGTTCCTCCCTTTGTTCTTAGAATCGCTGCATCCAGGTGATCCAATGGTTTTGGATGCAGAGTTCTAATATGGAAGCAGTTTTGCTTATGTTGTTACAATTTGGATTGCAGCACAGAAATCCAGATACCTGTTCCCAAGTGCAATGCTGTGTAGATATGAAGTCTTTTTTTTATTCATTAACGAGATGAGGGCATCGCTGGCGAGGCAGCATTTATTGCCCATCCCTAATTGCCTAGAGGGCAGTTTAGAGACAACCGCATTGCTGTGGGTCTGGAGTCACATGTAGGTAAGGATGGCAGTTTCCTTCCCTAAAAGGACATTAGTGAACCAGATGGGTTTTTACAACAGTCATGATTATCATTAGATTCTTAATTCCAGATTTTTTAAAGTTGAATTCAAATTCCACCATCTGATCCGGAATGCTATCTGGGTCTCTGGATTAACAGTCCAGCGATAATACCACTAGGCCATCGCCTCCCCTAGCCTTTAAAGTTATGAAAACACTTGATGGGTTGAATATATGGAATGTGTTTCTATTTGTAGATGAGACCAGAGTTGACATTGAAATTACAAGGTAGACACTGGTAAATTGAACAGGGAGTTTCCAGGAATAACTCAAGAACACAAAGAGCTGGCAGGGTGAACAGCACAGATGCTTTTAAAGGAAAGCTATCCTTTTTAGCCTTGTGTTTCTAGTTTGTGCCTCGACACGAACTCCGACCCTGGTATATTTTTCCGTGATTTTATCACCTCTGGATTTAATTACTCAAATAACTTCCTTGGTCCTCTCTCATCCTTCGACAAATTCTGCTATCCAAGTATCAGGTCCCACACTAAATTCTGATCACCCACCAATCAGATCCTCAGTGGCTTACACTGACTCTCAGTCCCAAACATATTAAGTGGAAGCATCTTGTTCTTTTCATTAATCCCAATTTGATCATGCTCTCACTGCCTTCTCTTCCAGTCTTAAATTACCCTCTGAAATGCCTGAGCTTTTGTGAAACTGCCTCTCTCTTTATCCATCATTGATGACAATCTTCTGACCGGTTTTTTTAAACATCTAGGCTAAATCTGTTTACCTCTTCACTT